TGCCCAGGGAGGTGGTTGAGTCCCCATCCCTGGATGTGTTTAAGAATAGGGTGGATGATTTACTTGAGGATATGGTTTAATGGGGATTAGGGATGGTTGGACTCGATGATCTCTAAGGTCTTTTCCAACCTAGAAATCTATGAATCTATGAATCTATGTTCATGAGCTGGAAAGGCAGATAAGCAACAGGAGATTAGCAGTTACCAATGGCATCAAGTTATTTGTATTTTTCTCAAAGAACAGAGAAGGTGAGGAGGAACTCCAGACACCAAGCCACACTAAGGAAATGTGTCAGGTGAAATCTGATACACAATACATCATTAGGCAAGCTTAGAAGAAATAATCTGCCTTATCCATATACCTTCTTGAGTTCTTAACTAAGAGTATTAATTAACTTTTTTAAAAAATGTAAGAGTTAGGGAGAATTGTGAAGATCTCAGATAAAGATATTTGTTTCACATACAAACAGTGACAAAAACCCCCACATATTTAGGTTATTTAGTGGGTGTAATGAACAATAAAGGAAGTATTACAATGATATTTTCTTTTTCAACACAAATCTGTAGCGGACGTGCTCGGAATACTGTATACAGTCTAGTGTCTTCATCTTGGAAATGGTTTAGCGATAAGAGAAGGAATTTAGGTAAGTCCAGTAGAGAATATTCTTATTGTAGATAAATTGTTATACAAAGAAATACTTCAGTCAGAGGTTTTTGCTTTAAAAGATGGCAAGTGACAAAAAATAACAGAAGATATAAAAAACTATGGTTGATTGGAGAAGTTAAACAGGGGCTTTTACTCACCCATTTAGAATATGCAATCAAAACGTAAAGTGATGTAATGGAGAGGTTACAAACAGGACCTAACAGAAGGACAAATTCAGGGCACAGGAAAGAGGGCTGGTCAGGAAAATAATGAAAATGCTCCAGGCAATCACAGCAGGATGATTAGCATTTACAGGTCTAGCTGCGTATCGATACAGACCTTTCGCAACACTGTGCCTCAGAAGAAAATTGCTACTTCCAAATAATGTATCATATGCTTTTCCTCTTGTAGTCTTGAGCCATTGATGCAAAGCTATGGGTGAAAAGGGAGCCTAATACGTACCTGCAGTCTATTCCAAGTGCTTAAATAATATAGATCTTACTTCTTACCTCCAAAGAATTAAATTAAATCCCATTCTAACTATAGATTGGATACAGTTTAATTTGTCCTTTATCTAGATATGGGTGAGGATTTACCTCCAACTAGTAATTTCTTTCACCTCAGGAAGAAAACAAATACTCTTATTCCAGCTAACATGTCAGCACTCAGATTTTTAATTCAGAAATAAAGTTCAGTAGGACACAACATTTCACACAGTACTAATCTGCTTGACCTAATTTCTTACACTGGTTCCTCTGGCTGCTGCCAACACACTGTCCGACATAGCTCCCATGTAGTTCTACCCACAGATCTGCAGTATGGATTTCTTATCATTAGCTTAGGGCCCAGGCAGGCTGTGAGCGTGTCCCTTCCATGCGTGCTGCTCCTTCCAATGCCAAGAGCAGATGAACGAGCAGGTGGCATGCAGGAAGACGCTGTGAGATTTCTAACGCAAATCAGGAGAGCAGAATTTCTGCCCACAGTTATTATGATCACAAACCTACGTTTGTACCTATTTCTCCTTTTGCATTCCTTCAGATCAAATGAAGTCAGGTTTCCTAATTAAGTCAAACCACATAACTATGCTGCAGTCAGTCCCAATGTGAGTTTCAGTCTCAGCTGTAACTCACTCCTAGACAATCTAGTTAAAGTTAACTTCAATCCAGCAATTTCACAAGCTCTGCCTTTAAAACTGTAACTTGAAAATTACCCTGTACCACTCAACAGCACTGCTCGATGCTGCATCAATACTCTGCTTTGTCTCCCTCTCCACTCTTCTGGCAGCCACAGATAGAATATACCAACTCAGCAGGAGCAGAAGGCAGCAGAGGGCTACTAGTGGCTCAAGCAGCAGTGGCCTTCTGGAAGCACAACAGGAAACTTCATTCAATAAACTCCACAATGCCACTTCAGCATGGAAACTTACTCAAAAAAAAAGAAGTCCTTTTCCCCAATAAAATCACCCAACTCAAAGCCCTTCGTGCATTCCCATCCAGTCACTTCCATCCCCAACTGAAGATGTTTATTGCTGCCAACTCAACCAAGTCAGCTGGTCTCTCAAAATCTAGTTGTATCCCTTCTACTTCACAGCTTGTCATTATCTGTGCAGGTTCTAGACTCAGTGCTTATTTGGTAGCTCTATGGATGGTGTGTGAGGAAGACCAGTTACAGCTGTACTGACAGCAAAGCAGATGGATGCATGCACAGAGACAGAACGCATCTACAACCTCATCAGACATGTCCCTGGTTGCACAAGTAAGGCAGGCCACCTGCAGGTACCCCTCGGATCCATGGTGCACTACCATCCACAATTTGAAAATTGCTGGTCCCAGTTGCACCTGTCACTCCTAATCACATTTATTTCTGTAATTATCCAAGTATTCAGAGCCTGGAATGTGTTAAACCTAGCTGGTTTTAAGCAAACAAATGCCAGAGTTGCATAGTTTGCATAATCCACTTAAAACACATTACTTCTCTATCTCAAACAAAATCTTACAGTTTTCGCTTCCACTATAAATCATCCTAGACATGTAACACCTGCTACTCCAACAAAAGAGTACATTAAAAGGTTTTAATGATTAGAAAGAAAATAAGTTTGTCTAAGGGACACCTGGAAACACAAATGCAGGGCATATGTCTTTCTATGTACTAGGAATTACATTGTCACTCACATTTAAATAAGATATATACATTCTATACTCTCCTCCCTGCTATCTTAGAATAAAAAATATATAACCCAAGAGTGCAGAACATCCACATAACCTCTTTTCAGCATGCAGTGAGCAGAACATCTCTTCAATACTACCTGTCCAGAAGGAGAGCAGTCTCTTTTTCAACTAGTCATTATTCGATACAAAACAAAACCTATAGGAAAGGGGTCTTTTTTGAGAGATGTTTTTGCATGCTATTATTGGTCTGTTCTTGTCACCAAGTGAGTTACAAAAACCATCTGTTCTCTGGAGGTTTAGTGAGCATCAGCAAACCAGTAGCAGTACAAGTGGTTAAAATCGGAGCTCTAATCTTCAGCTCTCCTCCTGTGTGTCAGACTGCCTTGACTATACAACTCAGGAATATTGTCTGCCTGACTGCTGGGAGACGGGAGCAGTACAGAACTGAGGAAAGGCCATGAAAGTACAATCTCCTGTACTACTACTGAAGCATATGGGACATTACAAATCCAGTGATTTAAATGAACTGGTACACAGCATTCAGCAAATTGAGTTTACCTTGAGGTTTCGGTTTGGTAAGCTTCCCACAGGGCTTTGAGATTGTGACGGTCTTCTGGCAGTCAGCATTATGAAGGGCTCTCTTCAGGTTCCCAGTTCGAGTCTTCAAGGCAGTATTCAAGTCACATTCTCCCCAGGCCTGGAACTGGTATTTGCATTCAGCTGCAACAAGTAAATAAATAGCAATTTTTAGAATGGAATGACTCAGTGTGAAAATAAAAATGCTATGAGTCTAATAGGGTATCACAGAGAGCCAGTGCTTGTAGACAAAAGGATCATGCAACTGAAGAAAGGAATCCCAAGAAAAATTTAAAAATCATTTGCAGTGATAATTGTAGTCCTGCCCCAAAATGCTTTAAAATGAAATCCTCTTGCTTTTGCATGGATATTGCATTATTGTCGTATAAAGGAAAATACATTCAACTATAAACAATGAATTAAAAAAAAAAGAAAGTAAAAACAGTGGTGGGAAAAGTCATTCACATTCTATATGGCTGTTCTTCTACTTGTGCGATACCAAAGGTTACCAAATAAGGACTGTACAGTTTCGAGAACGTATGTGCAACTGTGAACTTGTCGAGTCTGAAACTGCTGCACTGACTACCTTGGTAAGGTTACAAAGATGTGAAAGCCATACAAGTTCTTTTGCAAGAAAAAAAAAACAAGTTTGCAAGAGTAATCAGATCTGAGTCCTGGACAGACATCATGTCCAGGACAGATCTGACATATCTTTCCAAACTGTTATAGATGAACCTTCTGAACTGAGTACACTGGTCTTCATTCACTCCTTTCAATGCACACACTGGTAGTCACCCATGCTCCATGCTGCAACTGATCACAAGGTCACATAAAGCCTATGGTAACCATCGCAGAGATGCGTAGCTGTAAGGGAACACATGCCGCTTATATTGCCACCTTACATAGGTTTGTACACCACAGGAGAGCAGATTTAAACACGCTGCTGGAACAATAAGTTTACAATAAGTAGGTTACATGGACTCTCTGCAGAGGAGCTGCTTTGCTTTGAAGAAGCTGCCTTTGGATGCCTTACACGTTCTAGCTGCAATGAACTTGAGAAACAGAAGTGGCCCCTTCAACCAAGACATTTGCAGAGCTAAGCAGAAAATACTGTCTTCCTTCTCCACACTGAAGTAAAAATCAAAGCAAATCCCTTGAGGGAGTGATGCTTACCTCCAAATTGCTTCTTCCAGTTGCAGGGAATCTTACACTTCTGAGTCTTGGTGGTTTGCTTGCACTCCGCTCCTGTGCGAGTGCCCTCGCGTGTCCCCAGGCCACAGTCACCACTGGTGGGCACACAGACACTCCACTGCCATTCCCCACAGTCGGACTTCTTCGCCTTTTTCTCTGGTTGAAGACAAGAAACCAAACCCAAGCAAGAGAAGTGGTCAGTACCCAGAGCCTAGGGAGAAGCTCACTAAACTTCACTAAACAGCCACAACACCTGAAAGGGTGAATAATGAAGACATTCGTAAAACTATTGTTTCAAAAGCAAAAGGTCTGGCATCTTCTTCACAGTTCTGCAGAGACAGGTCAGCCTCTTTGACTCCAAAGCAGGGTGGATCAGACAAATTCAGTCCCACTACCATGTCTACTAGTCCACTTAGACGTTCTGAAGTAGAATCTCATCTTCGGAACGGGGAATCATCGAGAAACTCTCAGGGATCCCTGACCAAAACTTGCAGCAGGGCTCACTCAGAAAGGACACTCCCTGTTTCCAGTAGCTGATGACATGCAAATATTTTCAGTTCCAGCTGAAGTGCTACACACTATAGATATTAGAAATTCATGTGCTGATGTTGTGTATTGGAGGATTTGAACACCTCCAGGAAACAGCTGTGGGATATAAACTTTTCACTTGGTATACCATGTCATGTTTTAGGTCAGAATATGACCAAAACTCCACAGGTGAATTAAGAGCTACATGGAAAAGTGTGCTCAAAATGTTGTTAATACAGTTGGATTGTTGCTCAGTGACAAAAGTAAGGATCATGATTTCATTTAAATCCTTAAACTCAAGACTGAGAAAAGACTGCAATGTTATCTAACCCAAGAGTTCACAAAAATAATTAGTTAGGCCCCAAAACATCACAAGTAACTTTAAATAATTGTATATAGAATTATTTTCCTTCTAGCTCTTGCATATTTATGTTCACATTTTCTCATACTTGCATACAGCCACAACGGTTAGAAACACCTTTTTTTTTCAATGGTAACACTAATTCTGATAGACTCACAGGTCATATTAACTGGTGCATAAGTAGCCTGTAAATAATAAGGCCTTAAGAAAAACACCAAAAGATGTGTTTCTTAAAAAATGTCAAGACTGGGTTTGATAGATATGAATTTTCCACGCCAGGTCTCCTATAATGAGGTCTGAGTTCATCCCTGACAGAAAGCAATTACCGCTGGATGTGTGGCTGTCTATCTGCAGCAGCAAGTTAGTTCAATCCTCCAATTGTTGGAGGATTTCCACATCACACAGCATTGGCGTAGCATTGTCATATACAACACTGAACGAGCGACATAACTGCTCTTTCATCACTCTTGTTTGGTTCTCTCTAAGTCAAGCATGAACCTATTCCCAAAGCAAATTTTAAGCCGCCTTGCAATACTTACTCTGTGATAAACTAAAGACTCCAGTCTCCAGAGCTGTAAAGCTGCCAGCTTTCATGGAAACTACTTTCTGTTTTCCTTTTTAACACAGAATAACATGTCACAGCCACAAATCTCTACCCTGTATGTCAAAAGGTTAACGAATAACCTGAATTTCATAACAAAACCAGAAACATTTGACATTCTCCCACACATGCAATCTACCTCAGGGATTAACTTTGAATTACTTTGGACCTTACCTGGTTTCTCTTTTTTGCCAGCCTCGGTGGTACTCACAGCTGCCAGAATGAAAACAAGTGCCAGGAGGGCAGCTGTGAACATTCGACGTTGCTGTTGTTGCTGTTGCATTCTGGGGGTTAACAAGAGAAAGGAAAAAAACGTTGGTTAGATTGTAAAAAGTGGGATCATATCTAAAGTGTTGCTACAGCGTTTTTGGGAAGGTCTGCTTCAGGGTCACAGGACACAAGCAGGTCAAACATAATTAGTAATTGGCAGAATGGGTAATTATCTTCATTCCAGAAAGAATACAAATATTTTTAACAATCATTTTCCATCACTGATGTTGTAGATTAGTTTTGCCACAGGAAGTTCAGTAATTATTGCTTGCCTACTAGAAACTTGTCAGAGAATCAAGGCTCCTGACAGGCCTGGAACTTGTCTCTTTCCTGATCTCCGGCTGTGATTTATTGTGTAAAACTAAACATAATATACGCTTTGTGTTTCAGCTTATCTGTTTGTATAAGGAGGGAATGCTACACTGTTCATCTTGCAAGAGTTCAAGTTCTTATTAGGCTTACTTGACGTCTGAAAAGAGATTCTTTCATGAAAACTTACATAGGTAATATGTGGTGTATTATCTTGTCATTGGCATGTTGCTGCCAGTCTTTTCCTTCCCCTCAAATTAGTGTGTCTTCCTAATATAAATTAAGCTAATTGCCTGAAATGCAAAATGGGCCCAGAGATAGGACCTGCACACACAGCTAGAGGCTATACATAGCATGTTAAATGAACTCAGAATCTGGATATGGAAAGCAAATATTCAAATACAAAAAGGTATTAAAAACATTTGCTTGATGATGAAACATCAGTTATTAGGCAATCACCAAAAGTCATTCAGAGCTGGCTGACTTCAGTGGTTTACACACATATTTCCCTTTCACTTTGCTATAATTTGCATTGTCTCATTTTGGCATTGTTTATCAGAAAGCAGGGCCATAACAAATACACATGTTGAAAATAAACAACCTCCTCATTTCCCAGAGACACGTCCCTAGTAATGTGGCCAAGTACCAAGATGGCGACTAGAGATTGTTTGGATGGAAGGTTTCTCCAGCCTTTTTTTTTTTTTTTTTCAAACCAGAGCCCATGACATTCATCCTACACCAGCCCTCCAAGGAGGTGTCAACAGCACTAGCCACTAAGATGGCCTTAAAAACTCGACTAATGTTACAGAGAGCACAGAGGCAATCTGATGTCATTTTGCTGAGCACAGAAACCTTAGGGGAGAAATAATTCTTACCATGAACAAAAGAACAAAATGTATTTCAAATTTAATTTGGCATTCTTGAGTATTCCCTGCTGGCAACCTCTCGCTCAAAAGCAATGAAATTGTAACTGACGTGGAAAACAGGAGAGGAATCCCAAACACGGAGACTTTTAAGTATCCAGCTATAATATCGTGCTAGAAGCCAGATAAGAAAACTTAATAGCTTTGTTGAAATAAAGTTCATATGAAGACTGAAAGAGACCTGGCATTCAAACGTCTGAAAGAGTTGACATTAGCACCAGTTTGGTTTACTTCAAAAGAAAGTATCATTTCTCATCATGAAGAAAGAACCACCAGTGTTTACAGTGAACTCAAACAGAGCCTGGAGCGAGAGCACACGAGTTCTGTGTGAGTTTGGGTTTGTTTTTTCCTTTCTTCTGCTACATGTTTCCACTTAGAGCCTCTCATGTTTTACAGAAAACAAAATAAATAAACAAAATAAGCAATAGGAAAATACAAATATGCAACCTGCCTTTTTATTCAGCTTACTTCAAACTGGTTCTCCATAATCAAACACAGTTGCAACACTGTTAAGATACCAAGCTTCCCTCCTCAGCCTCTTTCTCTTGGAGAAACTTCACCACTACCAGCACGTCACCTCACAACCCATTTTCACTACAATTCATCTTCTCATTTCTTTCTTCCAAACGACTCACCAGGATCCCTTGTTGAAGGAGGAAATTAAGCACTTGTGTGGAAACACATAAGGAAAGAGAGACAAATACTTCTATAATCTCAAGACACCGGCCCGGCGTGCTGTCTGGGGATGTCAGAAGCAGAAGCAAGGCAGCACCAGTGGGTTTGCTGCACAGGATGTCAGCACCCACAAGAGACGCCTGCAGTGGGCTTGGGGCTCCCTCCTACATCCCCACTGCCCACCCCAGGGACCTGGATGTGGTCACACATACCTCTTGGGCTGCTGGCAGTCACCAGAAGCCATGGATAACTGTCCGTAGGGAAGCTGCCTTATATTAAGTTCATGGAGACTCAAATTCAAATCTGATCGACATTATTTTCAGCAAAACAGGCAGGGAAAATAGTTGGGGTTTGGAGTCTGAAATGTTCCAGAAGTCCTATAAATGAAACCCCACAGAGCCTAAATATAGCATATTTTCCTAAGACTCCAAGTCTCCCTACAGTCAAAACACTTGCCAAGCTGTCTAAGGCAAACGCTAAACCTGCAGATACATATACATGTATATACGTATCTCCCTTTGGCAGAGAGCGCCAGGCTGCTTCCTGAAGTGCTTTTGCTATTAACTACCAACAAGTGAAAAGCCATGTTGTACAGATGGAGGACTTTTCTCACACCACACCACTCCAACACCTTGAATTTGATGTAACCAGTATGACTACAGAAAATTGCATAACAGTTTTGCACATGACAGATCAGAAAGGGCAGGTTCCTCCCACAAAACTACAAATAGCCTATCTATAGTACCCATTAAATAATAGATTTTTTTTCTGAAGGTCAGAAAATCCCACTTATCATTGGAATTCAATCTTCAGTTTCCCTTGCAAATATTTCAGCTGGACATTAAAAAGATAGATGAAGATAAAAACTTGTCAGACTGGACTTGTTTTTGAAAGTAATGTATTCCACTGAAAACAACTTTGTCTTTTTTGGTTTATTTTTCAAAATTCAAAGATGACAGTTTTTCCTTTTCATTAGATTCTGTGATAACATTTCCAGTTCGACCGTTGATTTAAAGAACTGACAAAACTGCTAATAGCAATGAAAAAACAAATGTTTCATGATATGCAAAATGGACCCCTTCTTGACATTTTGATTTTTGTAATGAGCCTTCTGTCTCCAGCAATGGTAACAAGTAAATTAGTGTCACGAAGGGAAAGTATTTCTAAAATCCTATATGAAAACCCCTAAACAGAGAAAACAGCAACATTTAAACAAATAGCACTGGCATTTACAATCAACAGGAAGACATAAAAATAAAAGTGAAGGAAAGAAAAGAGACATTTGGGGAGGTGGGGGGGAGCAGAGCTCCAGGAAACTTCAGAAGAGAGAAAAGGTAAAGAGAGAGAAAGAGAGGTTAGAACAGTTTAAATGGTAAGCTGGAACAAGATCAGAAAAAGAGAGTGAGTAATCATGAAAAGAACACCAAAACAGGAATGGGAGAAGACAGTAGGAGCTAATGATGGTTAAACACTAAAACTGACAGTGTTAAGAAAACATGAAGCATGTAACAAGTTGAGAAGCAAAGCCCAGCTGAGATGCATCATAGCGAGTAGCTTCTCCCAACAAAAATGAGGCATAGGAATTACTTCAGTCTTACAGTTGATTTCAGTCAGTCTCTGCTTGGGATTAAAATGTGAAAGGAAAATTAAAAAAATGGTAGTCAATAAGAAAATGAATGAGTTCATCAACCATCCATCCATGGGTTCAATTGTGTGTTGAGCACCAGAAAGAGTCAGGCAGAAGTGACACTACAACTGCAGTTTAAAGGACCTTCTGAGTGGACCTGGAGCCTCCCACTCCAAATCTCTCACTACCTCCGACTCCATTTTATAATCACACCCTTCTCTCCTGAGCCTGATTCATTACATCATTTGTTTGCTGTGATTAGTACAGTCCACTTGATTAAACATACCAACTCCTTTGGGAAATACCTATCCTATGGGCTGCAGCACATAAATCGCAGCTCTACCAAAGACTCAAACCAGTATCTACAAAGCGTAGCACAGTGGCATGCAGACATTTCCATTTGGGTCCAGAAACGCTACAAATACGTTCACGCAGTGCCTGGCTTTGTCTAACAGCCCAAGACAAAGTTTACTCCTTCCAACCCAATACCCTGCAAACGCAGCTTTCTTCCTTCGTACCCAAGTTGGCAGCCCACAGCAGCCCAGGTGTTCTCATGATGAGCTCCTTAGACCTTTGGACATCAGTTAGTGCAAGTCAAGCTCACTGGAGCGACTCTGTCTGAACTCATGCAATTAACTCGTATATAGATTCTCTGTTTGTTACATATGAAAAAGTCTTTCCTGAACACAAGCATCCAGAACAAACCAGGCCATTTCAGATGAAGCTCTATTAGTGAGCAAGTGTTTATTTTTCCTAGCCTCACTGAAGCTAGCATATGTAGCACATCCTAGGATCACATATGCCTTTTTCAGGTGGCTTTTTTGCTGTTAATAACTATTACTCACAAACCCTTCCCTTCATCTGTTCTTTCCAAAGCAACTGGCAAGGCCCCAGATGATAGCAGCAAGTATTTTATTATTAGTCTATATGAGTGTAATCACCCACTCAGAACTATCGGGTTTTCTCTCATGACTTAACCCGTCCATATCCTCCAGATCTTCCAGGATAATATGCCAAACATCAGCTGTGTTGATAGTGCTGTTACTCTGCATGTATTGCAACCTGCAACAGCCCACAGGCTTTGTGGTGAGTTTGCAAGCCCTCAGGACGGAGGCTCATTGAGGCATCCTCTATCTGAGCGTTTCTTGGCCCATCTGCAGCTTTGTCACATTTGATTTAGCTGCAACAGCAATTTTTCTAATTGACCAGCTAGCTATGGCTGATTTGATTTACTTTTCTTTGTCGTTGTAAGGAGCCACCCAGGTGTTATGACTCCATTAAAATAAGGTACTACAGAGAAATACAGGACCGATATCTTAGCAAAGGCCTTGAGAAATGGAGACACTGGATGCAGTGTGGAGGAGTATGGGTATGAGAGATATGAGATGGGGCACAGGATCAACAGTAGAGACTCCCTAGCTGTAAACAACTCACCCATGGTTAGTTGAAGAAATGCAGACCTAGAGCTGGACAAAACTG